TCAACTGGTGCCTACTGCAGACAAATACAATGTTTATATATGGTTTGGGAGTGAATTACAAAATGAACACTTGTAAATGGAGAGAGGCGTCACCAAGACAAAGCCAAGGTGATGAACAAGCTTTTTGTTGACACAGAATTGGTTTCCATTGGTTGATTGCAATCGACTCAGTTATCTTGAGCATTCTGGCGTTACCGTTGGTGAAAATCACTCCAAATGCTTTCTCCAAGTGTTGCGTCATCAACAAGTGTTTGGCTATCGATGAGCTTGGTGGTTTGTAAGCACGGACCTTACCAGTTACCAGTTTCTCGATGTGAATCTCACGCGACGTAGTGATGGTCTCCTGAACAGAAGTGTTTATCGCAAGCCAACATGAATTGGGCACTATAATCACTTTGCAAGCTGAAACGGAAACGAAACCTTGTCTGTTCCCTAGCAGACCGTGCAAGAAACATTTGCACAGAAGATACCTTAGCACAAGAACTGGATAATATAAAACTGACACTCATATCTCATGGTTACCCGGAACGGTTCATTCAGAAGAACGCATCCGAAACACCCAAGGGACCTTCAATGACAGCAGTGAATAAGAAAAAATTATACTTGCGACTCCCTTTCAGAGGGGATTACAAAAAGAGCTAATCACCTGGCGCTTGGAAAGAGCTATCACACGCACATTTCCGGCAGCACGTTTATGCCTCTAGTGCACCAATTGGCTGATTGTTTCCATGAGCCTCAAAGATAAATCGCCCACTTCCACCTTCTCTATGATTACCTACTCATTTGTTTGCTTATGTTCGGCAAGCTACGTAGGTAGAACTATCAGTCAATTTTCCCAGAGGATCAAGGAACATGAATCAGCCTGGTTGACTACTGGGGATAAAAAACCCATTTGCCTTTGTGCCATTGTGAAACATGTCACAAATACGGAACATACTGTGAGTGAACATGCCTTTAAGGTGATCTACCGAGTGCCTCCTTATCCATTTAAGGCTGTTCGTCAACAACATCTAAGCAACAGCTGAGGCAGTGGTCACCCGTCTGTTTAACGCATCCCTTTGTTCCCAAAAACGATTTGTTATAGCACGTCAACTATCATGACCACTTAGTTATTGCAATCCCACGATTGGAGCTGACTATTTCGATTGACCCTGTATCCCAAACAGGTTATTGTTAACCTTGATTCCTTCCTAACCCTCATGTGATACATCCCTATTCCCATCTACCCACCACTGCACTTTTGTTCGTAAATCACGCACAATCAACTGGTTATATCCACCAATCGAATCCGCACACACGTCAAACATTATGATGATGAAAATGTTACCGAAAATGAGCGAGTAAAAGTGACAGAAATGCTCTTTAGTTCACGTGCAAGTTGATGGCGTAATGCACCGATTACGAAAAAGTGTAACACATACGACAATAACGATCCCATTGGGAAATCTGACACGATTCATTAAGCGTGGCTGAACATCCGAACGATTAAGTCATTCACCAGTACAGTAGTTTCTCACCTAGCTTGAAAAAATGACATTGTGGACGTGGCCGAGGCTATCCGTCTCCTGTATCAAATTCAAGACAGGTTTGCTGTCGGATCCTGACCACAGCAGAAACAGTGGGCATGTGTCGGTTCAACCTCCCCTCGCCCCCCCCCCNAGCTGTGTGCCCAAAAACTAGTTGTGCAAGCGCTAACGCTTCCCAAATCTCTCTCTCTTACACACACACACACCGTGTCACGAGTAATCTCTATTATCGGATGAGTGGGCAAATAATGTGTGCGTGGTGAATCCAATTTCCGGTCTCATGGTGAAATCGTTTCCAATAAGCTGTAATTTTATTTTACTTTCCCAATCAATTTTATTCCCAAGTAACGATATATATATATATATTAAAATGTATTGGTATGAATACGAGTCTCTGTTTTGTTTGAAATAGGAATAAGATTGGAAAAGCTGATCAGAATTGAAAGAACAACTTTTCAGGGTTGTGAAACTCCCTATCTCATCAAAGATTATATGAACCAGAAATGTTTTCTTTTTGAACTGCGAATTCTTCTGATACGATGATTAATTCTCACGTGGGAGAATGTTATGTCATACAGATTGATGCGAGCGGAAAGTGGGCATGAAAGCCCAGCATTCGATTAGGGCTGTGCAGGTCGGGTAGAACAGAAACTGTTCGGTGAAAAAACAATGAAATCATAACTGACAGAAA